CCAGCAATCCCAGAGCCGCAAGCGCGAGCGTACTTTGCTTTCCTCGTAGGTCCTGCTCAAAAAATAGGCTGCAGCTCCTGCCAGTACATGAACAACGAGGAATGCTGGCTAGATGGTCGTCGTGAATGACCCGTACATTGACCAGTGCCATACGAACGCACCTTTCTTGAAGCCTGATGACATGGCGTTCTTGACCATCAGCACGTATAGCCAAGTGTAGGCGGCGGTGGATGAGAGCCGACGCTGGGAGGAGGCTTGTAAGTGACAGCAACGAAGACGCTAGACAAACAGTCTTACCGTTTCGTTCGTGATAACGGCTCACAGATTCTGGGGGCTGCGAGGCCTGGGGAGGCCAGTCAGGCGCGAGTGTGCTCATAGGAACAAGAGGCGTGGAGAAGGAAGACCTGATGCATTGCTGAGACGCCTTGCGAAGCAGGCGGGGCTTCGAGGAGAGGCGAGGAAGGGAGAGTCGGGACGGTGATGGTGGTGGTCAAGAGGCAAGCGCGACTTCGTCGCTGGCGAAGCGGGCGTTGCACAGGCCCTCATCATCTTGCTGACTCACCCGGACAGGGAGCCGGGCGCACAGAGCATGCGGCCACTGCCCAGCATGACGACCAGCTCAAGCTGCCATTGCGTCAAGGCGCGTCGCAGGAAGTCAAACCGTCTGGGAAATGCCATTGCATGAACACTTTGGTAGGAAGTACACAAACATTTTGGTAACATCACTCAACATTGCTCGAACTAGGCGTTTCGCGGATTGTGGTCCATCATTTCGCGAAGTCTTTTCAACTGCGACAGTTCCGAACTTTCGATTTCTCGTTGTACCGCGACTTTCGGGAAAAGGCGTCCGGCCGTGTAGCACAGGAGGACGAGGAGTTTGACGCGATCACGGGGCTCCCGGCCCACGCCGGACCGAAGGGCGCGACGCGTCGGCGACTCAGAGGCTCGCGCGCGGAGCTCGACGTCCGGCGACGACTACATACCTCACTCTCATATTTGCGCGCTCCCGTTAGCATCAACAATCCGGGCAAGGACAGACGGCTGCAATTCATCAATGAGGCTGGACAATGAATAGGACTTATCCGACGATCTGCCTGTTCGACGGCACACGTTCATTCTTGTAGGAGAAAAGACGGACCCCGATGAGGGCACTGAGAGGCTGTGGCCGCTGGCCACCCACTTCAACCATGTGGGATCATACGGCACCCGCGAGGACTAGCTATGAGAAGATGCCCATACCAGGGAAAGTGATTCGCACGAAGATAGGCTCGTGTTCGTGATGGCCTATGAAGACGCGCGTCCAGGCGTTGACCCGACCTGCCTCCAGCGCCCAACACGTATGACAGCATACCGTTGTGGCCAGCCCGTGTGGGCTCGCGTAGAATCAACAATGCGTGTATGCATCACCCGTGCGCATCCTGTTCCACGAAATCGGCGGTGCGAGCCGATGCAATGATCGGAATCGGCAGTCAGAAAGTCTACTCTCACTCTGATTTCCAGATACAAACACCGGCGGTGTAGCAGGACACGCTCTCATAGATACAGGCACTCGCGGATCGTTCATCCCGCGAACACGATGAATCAGCATCGAATCTGGTGGCTATGTATATCGAACGCTGGTTGAACGGCTTTCGAGCGGCCGCATGCATATGGGGGATGGCATCACCAGTGCAGTTGTGGGATGCAGGCTGCAATACATAAGTGGTGGGTGACGGATTGGCGCTCTCTTTGACTTATCCGTTGTCTCTACTGTCCGTCAGTTCCTTCTACCCATGTTCATTTCTCTTCTCATGCTCCCACCCGCTGTGGCAGGACTCGCTGGCACAGCATCTGGGAAGGACAATGCGCGCCATTTCCCCCTTACTCGCCGCTCAATTCGTCGCCGTGGCTCTCATATTGACGCGGATCATATTGCAAGCTACGCAGACTCTATAAGGGCAAAGTACAGCTCGATATCGCTGTATGCTGGCCCACAGAGTCAACTGAGCCGCAGGGCGACGACCACCGATATCAGGACACTACTGGAAGTAAGGAAAAGCCTGAGCTCGTTGACATCATATCGTGTCAACTGATCATATCTATACAGCCCAGCGACGAGCGGTATCTTGCCCTCATCGAGGTTGGTACTCCGTGAGTGACACTTGCCGCTGCTGTTCTTGTGTGCAGGAAGCTCAATGTTGACAGGCCCCAGACTCTCTATGTTGTACTTGATACGGGCTCTTCGGATCTTTGGTTCGCGACAACGGCATGTAACTGCACCGACGGGGCCCAGTTTGATGTTTCGCAGTCGTCCTCGCTCAGTACCTCCTCGATACCTATTCAACTCGATTACAACAGCGGAAACGCTTCAGGAATACTTCTACAAGACACCGTCACCCTGGGATCGTATACAGTGCCCGACCAAATCTTCACGGGGGTCACGCAGGTCCAGACTGGTGTCACTTTTGGACTGGAGGCGGGGTTCCTCGGATTGGCATTCGGAGCTATAGCGGTCTCTGGCGCTACGCCGTTTTGGCAAGCCCTGATCAACGCGGGAGACCTCAGTGCGCCCGAGATGGCCTTCTATCTGACGAGATCTAGTGATGTGGCGACGAATACGGCTGATTTACCTCCTGGTGGAACTTTCACGCTCGGCGGCACAAACAGCAGCTTCTACATGGGCGACATCGACTTCCATCCTTTCCCTAACTTCACACAACCTGGCTCTTGGCTGCAAATCGTGACCGGTGAGCTCCCGTCACGTTCTTCTCCGATGGTCAGATCGGGGATGGCGCACTTTCGGGTCGACGCGTATGCCGCGGTCAAGCCATCGAGCTTTATTCAGGTCAGGTTCGCTGACACTTCTCTGGTAGAACTGACTGTAAACGGGAATGGAATCGACATTGGTCCAGACGAGAACAATATTGCTATCATTGATACCGGCGCGTATCACATTGGCGGCCCAACGCAAGCCGTACAAGGATTCTGGGCGCAGATCAACGGTTCCCAGCCGATCGTGAATGGAAAGTTCACTGGGTTCTACCAGTTTCGTGCGTATACTTGATTGCGAGGAGATGGTATACAACAGTGACATGGAACACCTCAGCTTGTAGCATGAACATCACGGCGACACTTTCATTCGGAGGCAGGGCATGGCCTATCACTGCAAAGGATATGAATATCGGTTTTTCAAACTCACAACTTGCCGGAGAGCCTCTTTGCATAGGTGCACTGTACGACCTTCAGCAAGCTGCAATCCCGTGTGTTGTCTCTTTTCCACCTCGGGGAGATTCTGAGGTGGCACACCAGAAATCCAGACTTACCGGGCTTCTGGAGTGTGGGTGACACGTACGTCTGCACGCTGAGTTCATATGCGACGACCGTCCAACCCACGATCTGCATAGATTCTTGAAGAACGTGTATTCTGTATTCAGAGCGGGCGGCAGTCCTGCTGTCGGGTTCGCCGAGCTGGCGTCGGATGGCCCGAACAGTGCGTCGTGTGTCATAAACATGATCACATTCCTCATGAGGACTATAGGCTCAATCACCGAAGGTTCGACCACCGTAGGCTCGACCACCATAGGTTCGACTACCGTAGGCTCGACTACCATAGGCTCGACTACCATAGGCTCGACTACCATAGGCTCGACCGCTGTAGGCTCAACCACTACAATGGCAGCTACTGCTACTGTCAACGCGTCAGTGACGGCGGGCGAGACGGCTCTTGGCACGACCGCTGGTGCGTATTCTGCTGGCTATCTGAGTTCCACGTAGTTGATTGACGAGGGACGGTAGCGGCAGCAGGCACTCCCAGTAGCGGTAACCTGCGTATCACTTGCGCATCTGTTGTCGGAGGCTTCCTCAGTACCATTGCGATGAGTGCGGTGACGGCGGCTTTGGCAGTTATGGTCTGATGGCACAAATCGTAGAACTTTGCTCTGTATTAGTGACTATGTTCCTATTGTGGAAAGGTTGACGGATCCGGAGCGTTGTGCGCAATCGCATATTGATGGCCGACCTGCGGATCAAACGCGGTCATGGGTGCTTCCAGCAGCCTTTCTCCAGGGGCCAGTCAAGGGCCAGTGCCCAGCATCCACGAAAGGCGTTGCTCACTCAGCGCTTGTCTTTATCCTTTGCTTACGAACGGAGCGGCCTCGAATCCACTTGCATTCGGAGGAATTGCTACTGGATTTATTAGATGTGCCGTCAAGCGTGATAGAAGAGATGTTTGAGGTTCTGTGCGTAGCCGAGAAGCCGAGCATGCTGTAGGCTTTGACTCAAATGGTCTATGTAATACCACACATCGCATGATAGCCCATCATGACTGCCTTTGCGCCTGACTATTAAAAACGCGGATTTGCGCAAGGAAGGGTTGGGTGTTACGAGTAGACAACGGCTCGTCTCAAGTCGACATATCGATCCTGGAGTGCTGTACCCCTCCGACTCTGCGGTGTATTTGATCTGGGATTGAGTTCAGGAGCCATCCAGATCCTTATCCGAGTCCTCGACTACGACCAATCGACCTCCCACAATCCGGACCAAGAAATCGCCCGCCCTTCGTCGAGATTGCACAGTTGGTACATCGTGAGAGGATAGACGCGCCGCCACGACCGAATTGTCTACAGTCATAAGACTAAGCAGACCAGCATCGTTGATAGGAGCGCCGTCTATGCGCCTGGCATCTCCTATGGCGAGGATGTATACGCCCAGTGCGGTCAGGATCGCGGCCAAGGCCGTTCCGACGATCAGAGATGGTACGTTGAACTAAGGCATGGCGAATTAGCGTTTACTAGCCAGGTTTAGACGGGCATTGGATGTGGACTGACAGCGATACGCCCAACGAGTACTCGTTCAATGACGGTAGCTGTCCCGTTCACCGGTGCTACCGTGACGGAAGGTGGCAGTACAAACAGTCCGTTCTGATCCTGGACGTAGCGCGTAAGCTCTGCAGACAGAGTGGACACTGCAAGCGTGCTGGCTCTTGCTGCGGACCACATTGTCATGGCTGTGGCGTCAGCAAGCGCGGACTCGAGGGCGCTAAGTGTCGCATTGGCCACAGACGAGTCGCGCGACGCATCCCCAGTCGTGTTGTCATGCGCCGTGACTGGGCCAAATATGCGGGTCGTGACTGGGAGAAATATACTGGATCAGTACGGTGCTTATTCACGCGATATTGAATGACGGCGTACGGTAGTCCTCGATAACCGTTGGGATATGGCAGTTATCATACATGTCTTGCAACTGGGTTTGATTCCACGACTGCGGTAGGTCCGACTTCTGTGAGTCCTGATTGAACATAAAACACGACCATAGATTCGTCGGTGGTACGGGTTGGCTGTCCCAGAGAGCGATCGATCCTAATTTCGGGATGAACATCGAGGCCCATGTGTCCTCCAGCCTGGCACACCGTGAGAACGACATCGCAAGCGCCCAAGAGATGGAGGAACGTACATGTTGGAGTTGGTCAAATCCGGCTTCCAGTCCGCCCAAGTGCTATGAGCACTCGCGCCTTGCAATGTGTCCAACGGGTCAAGAAGACGGTTCGTCGCCGCGTCGATAGGCGCCTGTCCAGTACTCGTCGAGAGAGAGCATCCGATCACTTGAATCTTCAGGGTGGTGTTGAAGGGATCGGTGGGCCACCAGAACTCAGAGTTCACCATCTGAAGAGACCAAGGAGAGCCTTCCGAATGCTCAGCATCAAGTATGGGTTGACTTCCTGACGCGAGTCCGGTCTCGTTATAGATGTTGTACAGGATGAGATTCCTGCCCAGTCCTGGTACGACGTCACTATTCGGGACTCGCAACAGCACATCTGCGAGCAAGAAGTGTCAGAATGCGCATCGCACGAGAAGGAAGATACACCTACCTGCAGGTCGCCACAACCTGCTAGCGGCATGATCAGTCACAGAGACCCAGAGTCCATCATAAAGCGTCATTTGGGTGGAACCGAGCGTGTAGTTGATGGAGAGAACGCCGGTATGGAGATCGTCGGTGGGAGTGGCGCGTTGATCGATCGTGCCCGCAGAGATCGACATCTGGGGTATGCTGCCGCAGTGGACATTGAAATCCGTATACTGCACCATGGCAGAGGAGTTGGACGAGGTAGTCATCGGGGGCAGAAGAGTGTCGTAGATCCTGTTAGCAGTCAGCCCGGGGTAGACGGACGTGTTGTCGCTGTTCAGCATTCCCACACCCACACCTGAACGATACCAATCGAATGTGAGGTCCGTAAAGTCGCGGAGAGGGCCAGATACGTTACTGCCAGGCGGTATGAACTCGCTGACCAACGGCGCACCGATCCGGGTCGACATGTGTCTCGTGACAGTTTCGTTCACTGCTGGGACGTTGACGAGGAATGACGAACTGATCCCGAGACCGGAGAGCGTCGAAAAGTATAACGTCGTGGTTACTGCGTTCCCCAAGGTGGCAGGAAATCTCAGATTGTGATAGAGATTGAGCAGCGAGGAACCCAATCCGCTCCAAGAGGAGATCTTGTCGGAAAGGGCAGTCAGGGATTGTGGGAGATTGCCGAAAGGGGAGCGGGTTGCAATGGGTTGCATGAGAGCCACGATAGCGGTTGAGAATGCGAGCATCACAACCTGCAAAGAGATGAGCCGTGTGCTAACGACGATGGGAACGATACTGACATGACTGATCAAGTTGATCCAGGTTTGTATGCGTGAGGCGCTTGTCAGCGGCACTTGTATGTTCTGTTCCACGCCAAGAATCCAGATGGTGCATAGTGCCACGTAGAGCGCAAGGACAGCCACGTGCAACGTAAGCGGAAGGCTGATGAGACCTCTGCGATGCGGGATTCTGTGCGCCTCCAAACGCCGCTCTACACGCACTGGTGTTATTGGTTGGATGAGGATTCGGCGAGGCCGACAAACCTTGCATGCCAGTATCAAATTTGGTGCCGCTCGAAGATGCCGAAGGGGTATTCAAGTAGAGTCTGCGGCACCGGATGTAAGCACTGCATATGTCGTAGGAATTGACTGGACGTACTCTGCTGGCGTCCATTCCGGAGAGCCACCTACACCGCCGTCGGGCTCTAGAGCGCTGTACCTCGCTGCCATGCCCACAATGCGACGTACCAGAATTGCAAGTTCAGTCGACACATGCTCTCTATATGTACGCCCAAGGTCCGGCGTCAAGATAGCAACTATGAGCGGTCACGAGCAACCACTACAGTCGTACATCAAAGCCGCCGCCACATCGGGTATACAGCGGGCGACATTGATGCCAATACGCATGGTGCCGTCTCGCAAATATGGTGAAGCTCATCCGCCCCAAATCCCATGTCTGTTGACCCAACCGGTGTTGAACCCGCTCTATTCAACTCGTTACCCTACCCAGCGGTCGTCTTGAAAGAGCTGGATGCTGTGCTGAGCATGCGAGCAATCACAGCGGAAATGAGAGAGCATTCGTCCGTTCAGGATCTAGATCATCATATACGTGTGAGACCGTTTGTAGGAGGAGCGTCGTGATAGGCGCAGGCAAGTGCAGTCAAGAGCTCGAAGGGAGGAACTCCGTTGACAATTGATGGCCGACTTCCGGATCAAACGCGGTCACGGGACGCTTCCAGCAACCGAAAGCCGGTGAAGCGCGACTTGCTCCCAACAACCACCATCCACCCCGCCTCTCAAACCTCACTCTCGTCGCAGAATATCGGACTCCACATCTACCCTTGCTCTTACCGCACGATATACGCTACTCAGTTAGCGCTGGCCACCCCACCGCAACCTTTGCTTACGCACCAACTGGCCGCAGCTCTACCCTCCTCCGTACCCGCCATTCGATGTATCGTTGAATAGCGAAAGCCGAAAGGACCCGCTACTCACGATTTAAGATACCACAAGTCAAATAGAAGCGATGTCGAAGATACTTTGCGTGGCCGAGAAGCCAAGCATGTCCAAGGCTTTAACTCAAATCTTAGCAGGCGGTCAATTCAATACCGTACGTTCTCCTCCTCCTTACATACTACTTCACATACTGTAAAATCACACCTTTTGATTGAAGAAGTAACCTGTTTATCCGCTCGGAACATGCTCTCACAATCTATACAGCGCAACTCTCCAATCAACTTCGTCAAGAATTACGACTTCGCGTATCCGCAACTTAGGGCACACGTCACCTTCACATGCGTTGCCGGACATTTGATGCATGCTGAGTTTGACTCGGCGCACAGACCGTGGGCAAGTTGCGATCCCTTTCAACTGTTTGACGCACCTATCGAGAGGTTCATCGAGAAGGGTGCGTGCTTCTCCACTTTCATGTCTCGTTCCTGTATTGAACCGTGGTGTAGACAAGAAGGGAATAGCGTCAAACCTTGAACGCGAAGCCCGTGGCGCCCAAAAACTCATCATATGGACCGACTGCGATAGAGAAGGAGAAGCCATCGGCAAGGAAATATCCGACATCTGTCGAAAGGTCAACCCGCGAATCGTAGTGAAGCGAGCGAGGTTTAGCGCGGTTATTGCTGCGTAAGCCACCGCTCCAGCGTACGAGCAACGAAATGAGATCCACTGACAAGGAATGGGCAGGCAGATCCATAACGCTATGCAACATCCCGTTGAGCTAGACCTCGCTCAGGCCGCCGCAGTCGACGCGCGCATTCTGTACGTTCTCGCTATGCAGCGCCAAGGGGCAGTGGATTAATGTACGATGCCCTTTCTAGGCTGGACCTGCGTATAGGTGCTGCGTTCACACGTATGCAAAGTAAGGCTTTATGGGGCCAGGTAGCACAATGCAACGAGAAACTCATTAGCTACGGCACGCATCTAGTCCCTATACGCATAACGAGCAAGGGCTGATGAACACTATTCAGGTCCATGTCAATTTCCCACGCTTGGCTTCGTCGTCGCACGTTTCAATCAGGTTCGCTCCTTCGTGGCAGAGGAATTCTACTACATCCACCTCGCACTCACTCGACCTGGTGCGGGATATATCCTCACTCTCGGTACCTGTATTAACCATGCTCTTCTAAAGATGATGCAACGCATGAAGATGTTGAAACTACCTTTACTTGGCGACGCGGGCACCTTTTTGACCGCGAAGTTGCGCTAGCGATATATGAAGGCGTTCTTGATGACACGCACGCAAGGGTGATTGAGGTCAAGAAGAAGGATGTGAAGAAATGGTCTGTGCCATGACTTAGATGGCCCTTGGTGTAGTGTTCTCATGGTAGATCATACAGGAAGCCACTGCCATTGACCACCGTCGAGCTACAGAAGTCAGGGTCAAGGTTGCTGAAGCTCTCGCCGAAAAAGATCCTGGACGTGCGTCTCGCATTGATCCTTCCATGTCACTCAAGCTGATTTGGACTAATGCAGATAGCTGAAAAGCTCTACCAAGACGGTTTCTTGTCCTACCCACGTACAGAAACGGACCAATATGACCCTGCATTCGACTTCAAGACGTTGATCGAGAAGCAGACGGCTGACGCGAACTGGGGTGGATTTGCCGCGCAGTATGTCCTACCCCATCATTTAGATGCGCCGCGTGCTCACTCGCTCCCTTCATTGATAGGCTGAACAACATCCCCGGCAAGTTTGCGCCGCCACGTCGAGGCAAGCACAACGATAACGCCCATCCGCCCATTCACCCTACCGCGCATGCGGCGAACCTTACCGGTGATAATGTATGTTCTCGAATGCGCTATATGAAGCGTATGAATCTGACGCGTTGGGCGCTTAGGCACGTGTGTACGCGTTTGTTACGCGGCGTTTCCTGGGAAGTTGCTCGCTCGATGCGCTCGGTCATGAAACGAGCGTCAAGGTCGAGTACGGCGGTATGCACACTGCTCCCCTTCCGCTACTTCACTTGCTAATGTGTTCATACTACAGGCGAGGAATTCACCGCATCTGGCCTTGTCGTACTCGAGCGCAACTACCTCGATGTGTATATCTACGACAAGTGGGAGGGCAAGCGCGTACCAGAGTTCAGGGAAGGCGAGACATTTGTTCCCACGTACGCCAGCCCATGGTCTCTCACTTCGCTGGTGCTAATGCGGTCACTATACAGTGTCTGCGAACTCAAGATCGGCGAGACAACCAGCCCGAAGTACCTCACGGAAGCGGATCTTGTCGGGTTGATGGACAAGAACGGCATTGGTATGTCACCCTCTTTTCGCCTGCACGTCTCCTCCCTGATTAAATGCTCTGTGTAGGCACGGACGCCACCATAGCGGACCACATTGCCAAGGTTATCGATCGCGAATATGTCGTGCAAAAGATTGAGGCATGCACCTGTATTCACTGACGCTGCTTCGGCATGGCGCTGACAGATGCACTGCAGGGCGGTACGACATATCTTCTTCCCTCGAGACTCGGAATGGGGCTTGTCGACGGTTACAACTCGATTGACTTCGACCGAAGCCTGAGCAAGCCGCAACTTCGACGTATGGTATGTATCATGGCCTTCCCTCCGCTCTCATGCTCACCGGTATCTCGACAGACCGAGCGTAGTATGGTCGAAGTGTGCGAAGGCACGAAGACGAAGCACGACATGCTCAATGAGTCTATTGAGCAGTATCAAGATATGTACGTGCGCGCGCAAGCCAACTTCGCGCGAGTCGTCGACGTGAGTATCCCCTCTGAGCGCTATCCGTCGCTTACTCATGCGTCGATCGGCAGAATGTCAGGCGCTATCTCGATGCACCTGCCGCCGGCGCTGGCGGTAATGCGCGTGGAGGGCGTGGCGGTGGACGTGGTGCACGTGGAGGGCGAGGTGGGCGAGGCGGCGGTGGCGGTGCAGGCCGAGGGAACGGTGGCGGAGGCTCAGATAACGATAATGACGACTTTGGTGGAGGTGATCCGGCGCCTGCTAGAGGACGTGGGCGAGGAAGGGCGCGAGCACGCGCCGCTGCACCCGCTTCGCGAGGGCGTGCTGCGCCGCCGCCGCCGCCTCCTCCAGCCCCAGCACCCGCCCCTGCGCCTATCGTCGTCGTCGACGATGATGACGAGGACTACTGGGCTGCCATAGACGACATGGACACACAACCTGCAGCCGCGCCGAAGCCACCCAATGCAGCAGCACGCAAACCATTATCCGCGATCGCTCCCAAACCGCCTCCAGTCGCCGCGCCGAAATCGTCATCGACCATCAAGCCACTATCGACATACAACCCGCCCGCCGCATCCTATGCCAATCAGAACGCACAAGCGTCTTCGTCACGTCTACCCCCTCCACCTCCACCGGACGCAGGAGAGAACCCGATCTACTGTATGTGTGGCAACCCCGCGCGGATATTGTCCGTGGTGAAGGAGGGCGACAATAAGGGCCGTGGGTTTTGGAGGTGTGCGAGGCCGAGGGATGGGCCCGAGCCACAGTGCGACTTCTTCCAATGGGCAGACGAGGATGGCCCGAAGGGAGGGTCGGGCGGTGGTGGACGCAGCACTGGAGGAGGTGGCGGCGGTGGAAGTGCTGCGACAGTGCCAGCCAAACGACGTTTCGGCGACGCGAGCGCGCCCGGCGGTAGAAGATGCGACTGTGATCTTACGGCTGTACGCAAGACCACTCAGAAGGAGGGACCCAATAAAGGGCGTGATTTCTGGGCTTGTCCTAGCAGCCAGAGCGCGAAGTGCGGGTTCTTTGAGTGGGCAGATGAGCCGGCCGGTGCATGGGCAGGTGATCCTACTGGTGGTGGTGGTGGTGGTGCGGCTGGTATGGGAGGGACGGGAGGTGGGGGTGGAGGTGAAGGAAGAGCAGGGGGTTGCTTCAAGGTTAAGCTTTTCAAGACTCGCATATCGAACACGACTGACAGGCATACAGTGTGGGCAAGAGGGTCATTGGTCGAATGGTACGCCCTCCTTCTCTTTGCATGTCCAAACGCTGGTACTTATGAGTACCATAGCATGTCCGAACGCTCCGACTGGTGGTGCGGGCGCCGGGCGAAGTCAAGGCGGGGGTGGAACGCAGACGGGGACGTGCTTCAAGTGCGGCGAAGAAGGACACTGGTCCAACGGTATGCAAGACTCTTTCTGGCTCACATACGCGCCAGCTGACCAAAGACACTATCAGCCTGTCCGAATCCAGATGCCGGCGGCGGAGGTGGGTTCAAGCGCAGCAAGACTATGCCTTCTGCCTCGGGTGCCTCTGCAAGTGCCGAATGCTTCAAGTGCCACCAAACAGGACACTATAGCCGCGGTACGTTCGTCTCCTCTCTCGGTCCTTTGTGCGCAACTGATGGATGCGATGGTGCAGATTGCCCGAATGAAGGTGAGAGCGGTGGTAGTGGGCGCGGACGAGGGCGGGGAAAGGCGCGCGGCACCGCTCGCTCAGGGTCGGGCTCGTTTCCCAAGCGTGGGCGGGGTCGTGGCAAAGGTACGGGGCGGGGTAAGAGCAAGTCGAGCGGCGCAGGGAAGTTCGGCTCGATGGAGGACTTCTACTTCTGAGTACTCATTTCGCTTTGTCTGTCTCCACACGTTCCTTCTCTCGCTTCGGTACATATTATTTGGTGACCTTGCTTCACTCTTACTCTACCCTTCCTATACTGTGCAACGACTTTTCTTCGGCTTGCATGCTACCCTCGGCGGCCTGCGGCTCGGATATCGGTACCCCCGAACGACGTTCGCTCATCGCAGCACACAAGGTACACTCCGGGCCGTGATGAAACCTCGTGTTGTGCCTGCTTCGAGTTTAGGAGGGGCTTGTACGGCGGCATACGGCAGCAAACTGGTCACTGGGTTGTCCGTGTGCAAGTGGCGTCGCTGACATTGAACCTGAATTGTATATACGATGTCTTCGTAGAAGGCGTAGTAGGGCGAACGTATCCTTGCTACCAGCTTCTCTAGTCAGCTGCATTGACTCAGCCACGATCACTCATGGGACCGTATAGATCCTTGTTGATCCCCTTGGCGTTCCTCCAGATTCCTCCGCGCTGAGACTTCCCCGGTGGGGCCCCGCATTCAAGGCTAGATGCTAAGATCAGCTGAACACCGTTGCGCGCTGCTTCTGGTTCTCCCGTGCCTGCCATCTTGTAAGATGTGAATGTGAGTGGTCGAGGGTTGCTCGTCTTCTCTGTACTGCCCTCAGTCCCCGTACTTCTGGACATGTTGGGAGTCAGAGTCATTTCACGGCCGAAAACATATCGATTCGGTGCGGAGATGGGGGCCGAAAGAGCGGCTGAGCGCGGCCGAGGGCGCATAAACTTCTCCGTCCATCATTTATCCCCGCCACTTCCCGTAAGCGATATCTTGCCCCGGATGATCAGGGCTAGCTGCGTGTCAGAGCGCCCTTATAAAAGGATTGGTTTCATTTGACGGCGCCCTTTGCTGGACCCTTTCCTGGCTGCCTCGACCGACCATGAGCGAGAAGAGTGTGCCCGTCTACAACGAGACGGTCTCGCCGTCAAACTCAACGTTCAAGGGCGGCGAGCTACCAGTGAGCCATGTTGGCGACGCCGAAGAGCGGCGCGTATGGCGCAAGCTCGACTGGCACCTCTTGCCCTTCGTCTCGCTACTCTACCTGCTGTCATTCCTGTACGTCGTCTAGCGACCTCCACAACAGCCCTTGCCTGACCTCATCGCGCGTCAAGGGACCGTGCCAACATTGGTGCGTTCTTCTGATCCGATAGTTGTGGCACCCGCGCTGACGACAAGCAGGCAACGCGAAGATTGCTGGCATGGCAAAAGACCTGGACTTGGTGGGGCTAAGGTGCGCGCATCTGCGATATTTGCATAGCGTACCGAATGCATGACTTACCGACTCGGTCAGATATAATATCGCCGCGGCCGTGTTCTTCGTGAGTCATGTCTTTTCGCTAAGGTGGATCGGCGGCTCATTGCTTCCTCCAACCAGATCCCATACTCGCTCTCTGAAGTACCATCGTACGTCTACGCCTCACATCACTGTCCTGCGCGCACCAACGAGCGACCCCCTACAGAAATATCTTACTGAAGCTCACACGGCCATCAAGATGGAGTACGTTCGGCCTCGGAGTTTGAACTGACAATGGTGCTGACCGGTTCGACACAGTACCCTCTATTATGTGCGCATGGGGACTCGTCATGACGTTGATGTGCCTGGTGAAGACATATGAGGGCCTCATCGCGTACGTGCCATTCAGTTCGTCTGCTAAACCGAGTAAACTGACTGGCGTTCAGAGCCCGCGTCTTCCTGGGCCTCGCTGAGGCCGGTCTCTTCCCTGGAGTGACATTCTACATCTCCCTGTGGTACCCGCGCCGCATGCAGGCAAAACGCGTCGCCATCTTCTTCTCGGCTGCAACTATCGCTGGAGCGTTCGGCGGTATCCTTGCCTTCGGCATCGAAAAGCTTGAGGGAAGGGCCGGTCTTCATGGATGGCAGTGGATTGTGAGTTCCCTACTGTCTTCGGCTCACACACCGCTGACGATCATGACACAGTTCCTTATCGAAGGTCTCCTCACCATGGTCGTGGCGTTCGCCTCGTACTTCTTTATGCACGACGTGAGCAGCACTGATGTTGGCTGTCAGCGCTGGCTCTGACACCCTTACAGTACCCTGAGACCGCTACGTTCCTGACAGAAGAGGAGCGCGCCTTCGTAGTTGCGACTCTGCGTGAGGACTCCAACAACGCAGCGACCCACTTCTCAATGAAGTTCGTCTGGCAAGCACTGGCCGACTGGAAGAGTTGGCTGCAGGTCGCGATCTACATGGGTATCCTGATTCCGGTGTACTCCGTTGCTCTCTTCATGCCCTCCGTCATCTCCGGCCTCGGCTTCACGGACGCTGCCGCCCAACTATTGACAATCCCGCCCTTTGTGACGGGTTGTCTGACCACCATCGTTGTCGGCTTCTACTCCGACAAGTTACAACTGCGCGGTCCCTTCTTCGCCGGCGGCGCCCTGCTCTCGATGGTTGGGTACATCATCGCCTACACTACCTCGGCGCCTGGCCCGGGCTATGTGGCAGCGTTCATCGCTTGCGTTGGTGTCTATCCCACTGTCGCAGTCGATCTAGCCTGGGCGGGTGGAAACGCAGGTGGAGATATGAAGCGCGGTGTCGTGATCGCCATGGTCATCGGCATAGGCAACCTAGGCGGCATCTGCTCCAGCTTCGTTTACTACGACCCACCACGGTACCACCATGGCCACGGTGTCATGATTGGCTGGCTCGGACTGAGCGTGGTGGGGAGCTGCGTGCTCATGTACACGTACTGGCGCAAGAACAAGGCAAAGGAGGAGTACTGCCGCGCCAATGGTATCACGCAAGACATGCAGGACAAGTTCCGCGACATGGGCGACAAGAGCCCGCTCTTCCGGTGCGTTTCTGGCAGAATACCGCCTTCGCTCCTTGACTGACCTTCTCATAGTTACATCTTGTAAAATGCTCGAGAACGACATCATGCTTCTATACGCGCACACATTCTCGCGCGCACGCTCTAGTTTCTTTCTGCGGACTGCGCCCCTCTGTACAACAGTCTCCAGTGCACCTAGCATAATCTGTATCATATCGTTGAAACGAGCTATCCATTACAATACCCCAGCAGCCATCCATTCGATTCGCGCACACTTGGCGCACGCACTATGTTGGTATCGGCATTCCGGCCCGGCCGTCCGAAGTGCCGCGCGCAACCATCCTTTGCATCTGGTTTCGACGTTGACCTGGACCACCATCATCATCAACTGCAGTAACTCACTTTGTTGGCTTTCCGAGCTGCAGTCGTGCAATACGCATCAACATATCACTTCCCAACTCAATGCTGTGAAGTCCATAAAAGTGCCACGCCAGGGACATGTTTCGTATCAGGTCGCGCGCGCTGAGGTCTTCTGGCCGCGTCTTTCCCACTGGCTCAAGCATCTTGTGCCACTCGCATATGACGTACCCGGGACCGGTCGCGCTCATGCATCGCGAGGCTCCCTCGCTACGCACTCCAGTCACGACTGAACAGCTCTCTGTCTTAATACGAAGCTACTGGCTTCATACTCGGCGTGCCGGACCTCCGACTGGCCGCATCAGAGTCGGACGCCCTCTCGACCATGCTAGGAGGCATGCTTCGACAACACCTTCTCAGCCGGACACCCCGTCTAACCCAGTACCCTCACTGATGAACACCATGGAGCGTTCGGCTTACAGGGACATCGCGGGATGGGTTATTGTGCGTGCCTTGCTTTCAACCTCGATATGTACTCATCTCACCAGTTTGCCTCCACAGTAATCATCACGTCAACCGTCGCTTGCGCGGTATTCACCAACGAGGTCACCGAACGCGCACTTCAACACGTAGACCGCGTTTTGGAACTGTGGTATCCCGAGCCGACGCTCGAGGAACATATCGCACTGCACGGAAATACGGCGCTCCGTGTTGCCATGCAAGATTTAGCCATCCATAACGACCTGCGGCCTATACTCGAGATAGCACGACCTGCGAGAGCGCAGAAGTATGAGGTTCGTCCGGTTCGTTCGTTAAGTAGAACGAGGGCATGGTTGACCTCCATGGGTGTAGTTACCTGAAGCGGCTGATGAAAGGGTGCACGATATACTTGGCCACCTACAAACAAACATGCGAGCCCTGTGGAACGAAAGATTAAACAAGGTCCACGTGGAACCTGCATTTTCTGAGGCTATCCTATGCGAGAGGGTAGCCCTCCCGATGATAGTATCGTGGGCGACCTTAGTATTTCTCTTGAGGACTCGTCGTCTAGGACCCGTGCTTGATCGACTTATCCCTGCTCATAGCCCGTACTCATCTCACAGTCGTAGCCTTTTGACGTCCATCCTGAGGTTCGTCATCGTGATTCTTGACAACGTCAGCACTGCTGATAGTTCGCTTTGTCCCAATAGGCCGAGCTTAGACTCACGCTTCCTGTTCGGGAGGATGCTGTTCACCACAACTTGCGTCATGCCCATCATTGATGCGTGGGACCCGGACGTACTTTAGTCGTGCATTGTACTCATACACGACATTAGTCTCTTCCGCAGGAGCAGTGTTTCTTGCAGACAGCGAAGGCTCTTCGTCAGATCTCATGGAAGCCACGTGTCTAGGACGCGTCGCCTCGTTCGCGTTATCAGGCGAGTTCAACTCTTATCCTGTATCCTGTCGATGCTCAATCGCGGGATCACTCCAGCTGCGGTCTGGGGAAACCTGTGCAGCTCTTCTGCAAGCCGAATCTTACAGTCGAACCCTCAAGTGATTCGCCGCGTCGCGGGTGCTGGTGGGGCGTGGTCTGCTTTGATCGTCTACACCCTGTTTGGGGCGGTGGGTGAAGAATCCGGGACCATTGTGCTCACTCTCGCGGCCATTCTGCCGTTTGCGGCCGCGATGTATAGCCCAGGAGGTGCCGTGTTTGCCGTAGCGTATGCTACGGCGCTGGCTGGACCGAGGGCGTTTGATGCTGCACGCCGACTTGCGTTCGATGGCGAACGGTATCTGCTGACGGAGCGAGTGCGGCATTTGCATGCCGCTACGGCGGAGACGCGTGCGCGCGAATCGCGAGAGTTTGCGCTGGTGAACGTGCGGTCTTATGTTGAGAACCCCATCACTCTCACAAAAGGATTCTGGTCTGTGGGGTGGCAGGGTATCCGAGATGCGGCCAAGTAGTAGCAAGTCTGAATTAATATTTTAGTACGAGAGCTACGAATGCTCTTGTGCGTGAGAGTGACTGCACCCACACCAATATATTTGAGCATCCCCTCCTAAGCGCCATCGCTATGAGATTGACAATTTCTAGCGGGTGTGAGGCTCTGAGTAATATAAGGCCACCTGGGCCATTGGTAAAGAGAAACGGATCATTCCCGCACGCGAATGCCATGTGAAACGGTGATCCGGTCTCGAACGGCACTGCAGCCGGCGAACCGCGCGTTGTCTGGTCGTGTCTTCAGCTTCAACCATCTTGTTCAATGTCCATGTACTTGACTTTGCATCGCCCGCAACCACCACCCGCCAGGGTGTCACTTCTTCTGCGCTGCACTGCGTAAACTGTGCACTTTCAGCGCCTTCACCCTCTATTACACCTGGTGTCCATACGCAAGACTGGGTCACCATTCGATCAGGGTACTCTGAACGCAGTCTGTTGGAAGTGCGGGTTTCGCAAGTCTCAGTGACTCGGCCATGATCAGACGCTTGCTCTTGAGGAGATATGCTCCCAATACGAATGCATCTTTCGCAAACCGAACACACAGCATCATCGGCATTGAGGCTTCCGCGCTACCTCGGCGACCAGCTCTTCAGGGACACAACCCGATGACATTTCGAGGTCTAGCTCACAAGGGCGCCCAATTTGCCGATATGCCTCATGAAGTACCATCGCCTGGGTCGACCAAAGGATCGCTGTCGTTGTCCGATAGCATGCAGCGCTCAGCTCCCGCGGACATTGCACGATGGATCTTGGTATGTTGCCGCCGTTCTTTCCAATGGCCTCTCTCATATACAGCAGTTCGCCTCCGCAACCACTGTTACTTTCACGCTCATCTGTGCAGTCGCCACGAACGAACTCACTGAACGTGCATTGGGGTCGTCGAAGTGGGCGTTCGATCTATACGAGCCTGAAGTGGCATTGGAGGAACATCTTCGAACACACGGCAATGCAGCGCTTCGGATCGCTCTCCAGAACGCCTTGTATTCCAGCACAAAACGCATGCAGAGTGATACGTTGGCAATCCTCCAGGTATGCTCCTCTTGCTTTCCAGTTTCAACCTCACTATGTATGTGGCTTCTGACGAACGTCATCATAGATGAAGTACCCTAAAGAATTGAAGGAATCCCTCCGTGTCACTTGCGAGTCTCTACTGGACCTCATGAAGAGAATCTTGGCATTAGACCTGAAGGTCGCTCACCTCTATCCTGTCTCTGCCGATAAATCGGCGTATAAGAACGTTATGTTGCCAGTCGTGACGTGTTGGCTGCTCTCCGCCTCCCTTCTTCGTACACGTCGGTTCAAGTCAATGGTCGAGCGTATCCTACCGGCTCATAATCCGTACTCAGCGCGGTCATTCACGTTACTGACGTCGATCATGCGGTGCGTACTCCACATCACGGTTTATTTCCCCGACGAGACTGAAGTCCATACCCTGCAGACCAGGACTCGGGTCCCGCTTCACTTGGAAGACCTGGCTTATCATGTTGCCCGGTATATTCTGTGTGACTCCTTTCATCTGTGGGCTTTTCGGAGTTTTAACATCCCAAGGTGCTCGCGTACTGATTCTCATCCTCCAGTGATTCTAGCTGAAGCAGCATTCCTCTCGGAGAGCGAAACCTCTTCGTCAAACCTCATGGAGGCTACGTCTGCAGGTCGATTCTCTGCGTTTGCATTATCAGGTGAAGACTTCCGGCTTCGTCTTCGTGGTGCCTCAAACATCTGAAACACTCTACAGCCGCTATATGGGGTAACGTGTACCTAGCAATCAGGAGCCGGATCCAACGTATCAGCCTACAATCATCTCGGCACATCGCGGGTGCACGCGGTCTCTGGTCTGCTCTCGCATTCTCCACATTAGCTACAATGATCCTGCGGGACGAGGTGGGCTCGATGTGGCATATTGTGGGTATTACTCCTATGCTGTTCAGGTATAGTCCGGGAGGTGTTTTGTTCGGCGCTGCCTACACCATGCCGTCTGCCGGACAGAAGGCATTCGACACCGCCCGTCGCTGGACGTTCAACAAAGAGCGCTACCCACTTTTGGAGCAGATGCGGCAACTGCATGGTACGACAGCGGAGCAGCGCGCGAAGAAGATGCGGAAGATCACATCTCTTACCTTCCTAAGAGCCGCCGAGGACCCTGTCCGGTCGTTACGCACCTTCTGGAGTGAGAATCTCTCACACGTTTGGTTGTTAGTACGGCGTTGGTGGCCGATTCGAAAATCATGATATGATAGTACATGCATACGCTTTCATTTTGTTATAGTGGATCTCAATGTACCACCACCCGTAATCGAATACGGTATGGAGATGATTGATCATGATCAGCTACCGCTGAAGCTTAGAACTCGGATAAAATATGTGCGCGCACACCACCTTCGTTTGCGCTCGGATGAAGAAACTGCACCCTTCACCGTCGAAGGTCCACCACGGCTTGACATTTTGCTATCATTTCGCGCCGATAAACTATCAGACGTTGCCGTCATCGATGCTTCAGGACAGCTCTTACTTCTGCTTGGTAACAACGCCACCCGGTTATGTTTGTCCCTCGATGGCACCGTGACCTCGGAATCGTCCAATCCGCCGCTGAAGACCATATATCACACCACTGTGCACAGCGGTACCTTGACTATGCTTCCTTGGGGTCTGGTATACCTTAAGGATGGGGCAGAGCTGCCTTCACCCGCATACTCAGTGATGCCCTCCCTTGATGATATACTTCCACACCTCGCAACGCTGGAGTACCACGGATTCGAGCCTATGGCTAGCGGCGCAGATGTCGAGATAGACCTCGAAGTCATCGTCAACTACCTGCAGCATCGCACGCGAACAGGAACTCTACGCGAGATCGCGTTCTACAAGTCAAACGTCGACGAAGAAGATATAGAGGGATTCAAGGAGCGGTTGGGATGTGTGATTAGATGGGATGACGTGACGCTACCCCTAGACACGGTCGAAGCAGATGGAGAGGTCGTACATAGAGGTCGTATGAGATGAAGTACATAACTCTTCCCGCATTGCCGCGGACCGTGGCCGATGTATCCTTGGGCGTATAGCACGTGATGGATTGTCCCCCTTCCAACTATGTAATGTGCAAGCAAGCAACGAATGAATCTTCGCTGAGAGATACAACATGGATGCAAAACCACACAATCAGCGGTCAACGAACGCCCGACTCAATCCTGCATCATATCATCCTCCCTAACCTCCTCGACCTTCCCACCCCCATTCACCTTGAACGTCTCGCTCCACCTCGGGAAAACCCTCTTATACAGCGCCATAAGCACTGTATCCATCTGACTAACCGGCCCATCGAAATGCGCCTTAAAGTACCCGTGCGTGCCCAAACTCTCCTTGATATGCCCCGACCTCCCCATCTTGGTATGCAATTGCACGGGCTTGTAGTACAAGACGTCGTCGGCGTTGAAGAACATGTACCGCACGGTTGCGGTTTTGCGGTGCACTTTGAATGGGTGGCCGGAGAGGAGGATGCGTTTGGCGATGACACGGGTTGGGTCGGCGTCTTTGAAGGTGCCCATTGCTACTAGGTTTGGGGCTTGGGGGTCGTCGCTTTCGCGTAATAGGGCGATGGGCTGGTTGCCGTAGAGAATGGGCGCGTAGACTGAGGCGACGGTCGTCGTACCGTGGCGGAGGTAGCGCTCGAACTTGTGCACGTTGTTGGGGCCCTTCCCGCCGCCGCGGGTGTGTTGGCTGTAGATGGGCTTGACGCGGAGCCGACGCGGGCCGACGCATAGTACGAGTTCGTCCTACGTACATCAAAACCGGAATCAGAACGCATGTACGGGCGTAGGGTTAGACGTTGAAACAGACCTTTGACCGCACGGAACCATCGTACTCCGTATTCCTCAACACCGTGAAGTTCACGACCGTCTTCTTGTGCTCGTGCTGGTGCAACCCGAAGAGTACGAATGGCGATCCCTTCGGCACTTCCGCTGCCTCTCGAGGCGCATCCTTCAGCGTGATAGTGACCCTCGTCCCGGGCTGCACCGCGCCAGCATCTGCCTCCTCGCGCCGCCTGACAGACCTCTCCGTCCGCTTATAGTCCTCGAACTGGAATATTCTCGCGTAGTCGCGAGGTAGCGACTCGTAAGGGTCCCACGGCGACGTACGCATAGACCGCAGACCGCGGTACCGCGCGAAACGCTGGCGCGCGGGAATATCGCGCGGCGTGTCGATCTCGTCCGGGAACTCGGCGTCGTCCTGTTCCTCCCGATCGCGGTTCTTCCAGTTCGCGAGTTGACGCTCTTCTTCGTCCTCATCGAGATCTTGGAACATGACCGAGCGTCTGCTCTCCAGATCGTCGTCTTCGATTGGCGCATCGACCATCTCCTCTTCATCGTCATCCATCGCCTCAGACTTATCCCCATCTTCACCCTCGCTGCCCTCCCCATCCTCCTCGTCATCGTCCAGGATCCACGCGGCCTGGTACTCGCTCATCCCTTTTGGGATCTTCCGTACAGTTTTGGGCGTCGTGCCATTGTTCGCGTCCGGCATCACATCGGAGTGTCCGTTTTCGGAGGGATTGGCGCCCGCCATTTCTTCTTCGGTCGGCCAAGTCTGCTCGTTGGCCATATCGTCGGGATCATTGGACGATACAAGCGAATCGGCGTCCTCATCGGGCTGAGCGACCGTCGTAGGCTCGACGTCCATTGCTTCGGTGCCTTTGCGGGCCGTACGGGGTAGAGGAGCCGATTCGATCTATGGGTGCATTGAGATTGGCATTTTGTGTCAAAGGGCGGAATGGAAGGAAGAGGCGTACCTTGGCGATCTGGAAGTCTCCGAAGTTGGGTATGTGGACCAGGCGGTTGGCCGAGAGCCCAGCTCCGCGGACGGTACCGGTGACTTTCAACTCGGCCTCGCCTTCGTCCCACCTCACGTCCTCGCCCAGGACCCAGACTCTACCCTCGCGCCACCGTACATCTTTCGGCTTGCCCTCCGCGAGCACTCGCAATGCTCCCAGCGCATCGGCCGCAACACTCAAGTCATATACTCGCGCCACATCCGGGGCAAAGTATTGCGTGAAGCTCAGCAGAGACTTCAAAACGCCAGCCCGAGCTTTGGGGTCGCTCGAGGTCGAGAAGGATGGTGGGATGACAGCGCAGGGTGTAGGTAGACCTTGAGCTTGAAGTGTACGGAGTAACGTATCGCCCCATTCGTCCACCTCCGTCTCTGGTGAGAGTGCGAGAACAACGTAGTCGGCTGCCTTGGCGGCGTCTAGTGCAGCGTAGAACTGGCCGTAGGGTACTTGTATGAATTGTAGTGAGGTCTTGAAGCGGTCCGCCCTGTTTATTCTATTGAGCGTACAGTCGCCTTGTGTTGAAGATATAGACATACCGGATCTTCCATAGCCCATCGCTACCCTCATCTTCAGCACCAACAGCTCCCGCAAGCCCTCTACTGACGTCCCTCGCATCTACATCCGGGGCGAGCGGTATAACCGCCACGATCCTGGGTGCGCCGTCCACACCAGCGAACACCCTCGTGGCGCTGACCAGTGCAGAGCGCTTCGCCGCTTGCGCCTGACGCGCGTGGTTCTTGCGATCAAGTTTGCTCTGGGCGGCAGCGCGGGCGGCCGAGATGTTCTTGGGTGATTGACGGGGAGTGGCGGCGCGCCCTGGATAGAAATCAGACTTCAAGTTCCTCTTAGCACACCGTATCTAGCGTGCGTGGGTGAGACCAAAGAGCCTCCGTACCTTTTGAGAGTTCCTTCAAGGAAGATTTGGATGCATGGCGAGACTTGTACGCTTTGTTCGTCTGTTCAATCCGTGAACACCAGATCCCACGCGCGACGGAGCGTAACTCACTTGTTTGAGCGTCGGCCGGTGGTGGAATGCCTCAGGCATCTCTATTTTGGGTTCTGGAGACTATGGATACAGGTGCTGATGGTACAGGTAGAGATACAGCGGGCAGATGAACGTCGAGGTCAGATCAAGGAAGATGCTCAAAATTATTGGATGCTCCGGGCCGAGGTCCCGCGCCTCGAGGTTTGTGCCCCTATCTCCGGGATGATGCTAATTCGTAGTGTACGCGCTCAAGGTTGGGCTTCGGGGGAAGCTGGACTTCGTAACATTGGGAAAAGCGGATAGATCTGGCACAGAACATGTGTATTGAACTATACTAGGGTTCCCTGCCACCGTACTACACCTCCAAGACGTTCGTTCAGAACTCTGATGCTCTCCCTATACATGGGACCGTCCGATGAGATATTCACTTCTCGGAGTGTTCCAGCTTGGATGCGAGGACACAGAGGTCCGGCAATGTTCTCGACGTACACCTCGAACAAGTGGTGCGTGGGAAGCGGTATCGGTCCGTGTAGATCCAGGATGGCGAGATTGGGCATGATCGTGTCATTCGACGCAGGCGAGAATGAGGATACGGTTCCCGCCGATTTCAACACGTCGCAAGCGGAGAGCCAGGAAGAGTGCATGGCTGCAGCAGGTTCATCCACATCAGCGGAATAGATAATCGTGCGGGATGGGGGAGGCGTGTTCGATGGCGCATCGACAAGTGTCAGAGCCAGGCGCGTGGACTCGTTGCCGTGGATGAAGGGAAGCCTTTTGGCGAACTCGAGCATGATGTTATCATACAGGAAGCCCATATAATAGTTGAGTGATATGTCGATAAGCGGGGTCGTGCGAGCGTCGGGCGGGTACAGGCTGTGTGCGCGAATACGGAAGGTGCAGGTCGATCTGCCTTCATCAACCCACGGCCCTTCTGCCGTCGCCACGAGGCCACCAAGGCCACAGAAGGTGGGGTCCCCCTTCCGCTCTTGCGAGTTAAGATGATTCTTAAGCGTATCGCATAGGCCAACTACCTCCTCCTGAATCGATCTTGGGGAGATCTCTGGCATATCTCTGTGGTATAATACGCGCGTGAAGACCAGACGTGTCGAGCGAGGGAGCGATACCCAACGCATAATGTCGACGATGAGCGCAAGACGAGACACTCCGAACTTGAATAGCTCCAGCGAGGGTAAGGCGACAGAGCCTGGTTCCCGTCCGTACCTCAAGGCGGCCTCTTTCATGGGGTCTTCCCCAAACGGGTCTTCACGTTCGAAAATGTCGTCGTCCTCGTTATACAGTTTCAACGACCGAAGAGTAGGCAAGCGTGCAAGCACGTCGAGGAACTCTCCGATCGTGTCGAAGTAGACACCACGCGACAGAGTCAAGCTGACCAGGGGAGGACGGTAGAAGATGTCGTCCGGCGCTATGGTTATCCAACTATCCAACTTGAGAATACGCAGAGAGGCATAGTCGGCAGAAGACATATCCCGGTGACAGAGGTTGATGCTAGGCGCGGGCTTGTAATGCTCTGGCATCCTCTCGAAGTCGAAGGTGTATATAAGGTTGAGCGCCACCATCCGAGGCGCTGGAGTAGAGAGTATTGTGGTCAGGACCCGAGCGCACGCGCCAATCTTGGGCCAGTCAGGCGATCCCCACTCTTCTGTCATATCATCGAGCATAAACTTGATGAGACGCGCTCTGTCGAATATGCGCCGCGCAAGGGCATCCTTAAAGACTTCTGCTCTGGAAGAAAACTGGGGGTGTTCTCCGGAGCAGAAGATGAGATCGAGAGGATGATCGCCGGACTTGTTGAGGAGCGTGTTCGTCGTCTCTGTCGTCCAAAAATTGATCATAGTCCAGAAATCGGGACACAGATCGGCAGTCGTGCGCCACCATCTGCAGACAGACGGTATGGTAATCCATGGGACATCGTGCATGCGTAGAGGTCGCGACCCTGCATGTTGAAGCAGGCATGTGCCTTCTTTCGCTATGAACGAGAACACGATCAACAGCAGTTCCTGCGGCAGGGATTCGATTGTAGTGCGTGGTGTAGCCAGATGAGCGTTCAAACATATTTCAGTATTGGACGATGTGGCCAGAGTGCGCATCAGCTGGTCGTCCATTCCATTCCCCGTCGCTAATCGTGTGCAGCTACAGGATGATTAGCAGACCAGATCCAGAGTGCATGCAAGGACGTATACATGCCTTCGGCCGCCGCGTACAAATGGCTTTGGAACAGTCTTCCTGGAGGATGTGCCCTTGTGCAAGCACGATCGGCAATGAAGCGTGGGCGAGCGCGTCGTGGACGCGGGAGCCAAGGATTAAGGCCAGTCTTCCACTCGAGTACCGGCTCTTCGGCCCGGTGGCCCTTAGCCGGGTCATTTACTGTATCGTCACCGGTGATGGGAGGATTACAGCCCGTATGCGATTCGTCTCTCGTCCCCATAAAGGCCTTCGCCCACGGCCCTTCTAGCTCATCTCATGAGCGATACATCTGGCCATGTCCTTGCGTGTTCACACCCGTGGTGGGGAAGACTCGACCCACATCGTCGAAACGCGGATTGCTTTAACTGACCATCTATGCAAAATACATCGCGATACTACCGTGACCGTGCAATACAGACCACCAACTTAGACGAAACTCTATATTTGAGCCCGTACAATCACACACGACTATGGGAAAGAAGAAACAGAGTCGAGTGGAAGCAGGAGAGGGAATGTTGAGGGTGTCCGAGATGATGATCTGATGCAGGATTGAGGATGTATGGTACATAGCTAGATGATGATATGTAGAGTTCACTCGACCCGCGTCTCGTCTACGCTGCCGGCTGGAGTATCCGATAAAGGAACGTCCGGTAACTTCATTCCCTCCCACCTGACTATACAGTCAAGTTGCTCCTTCAACGCCTCTATGTCGCGCTCGCTGATGTGCGAAGCGTAGAAAGCAACCTCGCGTAGGGTCCCTGCTTCTACACGATGCTGCAAGCAGTCCCCAATGTACCGGATCTCGTCCTCCGGCTTTGGACTGTGGGGCGTCGGTGTGGGTCGAAACCCGTAGTACTCCAGTGCAGCGAGGTGCGGAAGGATTTCAACCGACGTTGATGCGGGCGAAATGGACTCTGCCCCTTCCTTGAGGTGTATAAGACCCAGAGGGTGCATTGTCAATGCGTTGTCGAGCGCCGCGGCGTGGTATATGGTCCTCGCCGGCGTATCCATTGAGCCCGAAGCCAACGCGGCGGTTGACAAACGCAATTTTGTAGCATCGTTCCCGAGTACAAGAAGAAGACAGGACAGGACATCGCCAACAACATTATCCTGGAGTTCGTCGGCGCGGAACGAGAGCGATACGTCCAGCTGCGGCGCGCATTCGACGGTAGGAAGAGTAACTTCCTCATCCGAGCGCTGGCAATGATTTGCGCGAATGCACAATGTGCTAAGCAATCCTTTTTTCTCGTCCATAGACGTTCCGGTCGTCGCAACGAGGTCTCCGAGACCTTGAAATGAATTATGTCCCATTGTCTTTGCGGATGCAAAGTATGTTACCAGCATTCCAAGAAGCCCAATCACCTCTTCCTGGATTGCATCTGGCTCCTCAGCCTCCTTAGGTACCATGAATGGAACTCTCCTAAGGACCAGATGCGTGGTCGGAGGTATGACTATCCAGCGCATAATCTCGACGGCCAGGTCCGTATCGCTCATCGTTAGATCCAGGAGCTTCAGGCGAGGCAGTTCAATAGAACCTGGGTCCCGCCGGTACTTCGAGAGAGCGTCCGTCATAACCTGTTCGCCGAACGCTTCGCTCATGTAGAAGATGTCATCGTCTTGATCATCCATGTTGAAAACTTCGATTGTAGGCAAGCCAGAGAGTACATCAAGGAACTCAAGAAACGAATCGAAGTAGACTCCGCGTGCGAATGTGAGGCTCGTTAAAGGAATGCTGAAGAACAGGTCGGTGGGCGGGACGGAGATCCAGGAGTCGAGGTACAGGCTTCGCAACATGGGATAGTCGGAAGGTTTCATGTACCGATGACTAGTAGCGACGTTCGGTGCATCACGGCCAGACATTTCTTCGAAGTCGAAGGTGTTTGCCAGGTGGAGCGATACCACAACGGGGGCCGGCGTTTCCAGGATATGCTTCACGACATTCGAGCAAGCGATCACCTTCTCCCAATCAGGTTGATCGGAGTCGTACTCCTCGCGCGGCATCTCCTCGAGCACAAACTTGATAGAACGTGCCCTCGCGAATATGTTCTTCCTCAACTTCCTCGCGCTTCGATGGTACACCGCCGCTTTCGAAGAGAACTGCGCGTATCGCCCAGAGACGAAGATGAGTTCGAGGTTGCGACCCTTTGACTTCTGCCAGAGCTTATCGGTAGTTTCAGGTTCCCAAAAGTTGATGGTTGTCCAGAGTTCCAAGCAAAGATCGGATGTCTTCCGCCACCAGCGGCAAACGGAGGGAAGAACAAGCCATGGGACGTCGCCCATGCGCAGAGGTTTTAACCCGGCTTCTCTCAGAAGAGGTTTTGCACCATCTACAAGAATAGAGAAAATCGTGAACAAGAGCTCCTGCGGAAGTCGTTCGATCGGAGACCGCTGTAGCATACGGTCGGCTGCTGAGGTGGTGTTGAGCTCTTACAGTCCTACAGATCGAACTGTATGCAACACAAACCTGGCATACTCGCACTTCCAATTGTCATCGTTCGTAAAGAGCTGTTTCAAGGCGTGCCGGCGAGATGACCAGCGTGAAGCGCGGTTGTGGACGCAGAAAGCAAGTGTACGCTGTCGTCGCGGCGGCCTAACCCTTGAGGCGCGTCATATCATTCACGGTGATTGCCGGCCATCACACTCGATCACGGCTGTATGATCTATGTCTATACGTCTAGACACCACTGCGGGGGTGGTTTCGGTGCGTGGCGTATTCTGGTAGACCTATTCGTACATATTCCGCTATCGGTACTGCTATCCAAAAGGCGTGTTTACATGGGTATCTATTCACCATCTTCCTAAGTATTCCGTACTCTCAGAACGACGTCGTGGAGTCAACCTCAATAGTCGGCACGATCGATGCAATGAACTTGAGGAACACGACCAGATAGAAGTCGACGCGCATGCCCTCGACCTCCTCGTCTCCCTCTGCCACTTCAGCGGCTTTACCGGACCCGCTCTTGCTACGGAACAGCCACTTCTTGCCGCCTTTGCTATCCTTGCTCGCACCAGCCTTCCGTTGTGCTGCCTTCTGCTCCTCGACTACACCAGCGTTCATGCGCTCGATCACTTTCTTCATGACGCTCGCGTGCTTGCAAGGGTGAACGGATGCCGCTTGAAGTGATGCGCTATGCGGGAAGCCTTCGATTGTGACGGTCTTGAAGGCGTGATCTGCAGAGACATCCTGGAAGATTTGGGGCGGAGTAAGAGGGGTTCGGTTCTGGGGAATAGTTAGTCACCAATGCCCGTATAGAAAGAAAGGTACAGACCTCGTCATATCCCAGTAGCCATATCCTGGGCGTCTGATAGTACTTGTCGTAGGTAATCATGACGTCGTACGTCCGAACCTGCAAGAGATTGCCCTTCGCAACTTCGATATCACTAAGTTTGCAATCAGAAGGCTATCTTGAAAGCAAACAAGTATCTGCGCTTACCTCTTCTCCAGACCCTCTGCCGCCGCCGGGGCCACGCTGGGTTTCGAAGGTGCCGCTGCCGCATCATCTTCTTCCTCCAGATCCTCCTCCATGTCCGGGATATCGTCCATGTCAGGCGTATCGTCCGTGCCTCCAGCAATATTCATCTTCCCTGCGGCGCCTGCCAACTCCTCATCCTGAGCACCGTCAAGATCCGGGATATCATCAATCGTGCCCGGGTTCGCGGCAGAGTCCATGTGGCTCGGTCGTCCTGCGTGCGTCTCCACCCACTCGTCGCCCTTCCCAGAGTCGGCATCGAAGCTCAAGAGGCGCTCCGCGTCTTCATCTGCATCAGTGTACGCGAGCGAGGTCGCACGACGGAGACATGGCACGCCACGCGTGACTAGATATTGCTTGTCGGCTGGCAGGTAATCGCGAGTCTTCGAGGCATCGCCTTTCTCCCTACACAAATATGCCATGTAAGACAGTATATCATCTTGAGTACAGGTTTGAAGGCGCACCAAGACCAGACCGGGAACTTGTAGGCAAGGAAATCGCCGGCCGCAACAAACTCCTCTGTGTGGCGCACATTCAGACGTTGATCGTCACTGCAGGAAGCGCGCGACATACCGGGAGTAATCCTTCCATGCTCCTTGAACTTAGATTCCTTCAGAACCTACATTCCGGCGCGGCGATCAGCCTCGCTCCGGACCAGATAGTTGGTGCGCGCATACCGGACTCAGATAGTCGCGGACAGCCCAGTATTGTTGCTACACAAAGCGATCGTGAGATGCAAGTTTTATGGGAGTATGATGGGAAGGCGCGATACCTGAATGGCGTGCATGATGATGGTCCTGGCGGCAGCAGGAGATGGTGGAAGCGGACAAGGCCCGAGGGCAACCGCCGCCTCGTTCTGGCCATCGATCCCACGTTTTAGTCACGTGGCACTTTATATCTATTTCGGGCTACTTCTCCGTTCACTCTATCTCGCCAGGGAATCATCTATGCGTCCCAGAGAACACCACGATTGTACATCCGATCTGACAACCTGTCGCATCCTCGCTGCGACGGCAGCCACCGCTCGCCGCCGGATTCCGCGTGTAAATCGGAGCACAGACACGAACGACGAACAGCTACACAAGGAGATAGCATCGAGCACACAGATATATTCACAATGACAGCAGGGATGATTGGTAGTGAAACACATCAACGACGTGGCACGGAACAGCCGCAGTGGTGGTGGGCAGAAACAAAGTGCGCAGAGCGCGCGTGCCCTGGTGCGTGCCCTTAGGGTACTATCTTCAAGTTCTGGATAGACTGTAGCGTCTACTTACCCACGCAAGCTCTTACCGGGTCATCTAATGATCTGCCCGCGTACATTGCTTCACAGATAGCATCTCTCCGACCCTAGCATTGATACATATTGGTATTGATGCAGTTCTACAATGATGTTACAATCTCCGAGTCCATATCATCTACAGTATGATACACTTGTCGCATCATCTATTGTATGATGGACCATGGCGCCTCTTCACAAGTTTGCGCTCGGCGATGCCGGGAACCGACCGTGCGCCCAGTCGCTGATGAGAACGCCAGCAATTGTGGTCATGGGTGGACAACGGAAGAGAGGCTCGTCGATCTTGGCCGGGTCCGGCCCAGCACTGGCGGCGGATGCTTCCTGTGCACTTGCCGCCTGCGCGTCAGCACCTTCAGTGGGAGGCGGTCCATTCTTGTTGGCTACGTTCGATTGCCCATTGATGTTGTCATCGATACGTTTGTACTCCCGCCTTGAGATGTTGGTGCCGTCTGCGTGGTTCAGCACGGAGAGGACCTCCTCGCGCGTGTACCACCGAGCATCCGCGAGCTCGTTGTCGAGGTCTGTGCGGATCGGCTCGTTAGGGTCTGCGTCAGCTACGAAGCCGACCATAATGCTGGAAGGGTATGGCTAGAAGGCGAAAGACATAATTAGTACGGTGCACAACCGGTTAGTATGAGAGAACGAACCCAAGGCTGCGCAGAATGATAGCGAACATTGTATACGTGCACGCCGGCTTCCTCGAGGATCTCACGTTTGACACAGTCCTCGAATGATTCTCCTGGTTCCAGGAAACCCGCCAGCGTACTGTAGAAGTTGCCAGGGAACTTCTTATTGTGGCCGAGCAAGATCTTGTCGTTCGTCTCGTTCGTGATGGCAACGATAATGGCAGCATCTGTTCGTGGATGGTTGACGTTATGCAGACCTTTTCTGTGCGCTTATATTAGTCAATTGAATTGCCCCATGGGGTAGTCACACGTACGAAGTCGGGCATGGCTTGCGATCACCGTTATCGGCCCAAGGAACAAGAGATGAACAGGCGCGCTTCCATCCACCCCAGACAGAGTGTGTCGGTTGTCCGCATGCGGAGCAGAAGCGGTTGCGCGAATTCCAGTCTAGCATCGAGCGCCCAACAGCAAATGTGGCTGCATCTTCGGCGGTCATCCCGCGAATGGCAGATCGGGGCTCTGCGAACGACACGTTTGCGCCAGGGTGCGCCGCACGCGCCCTCTCCAGCAATGCATCGACAGCGCTCTGATCCTCGTCAGTCAGGTCGACTGAGAAGTATGGTGACCCGTTCAGCGCATTTGCAGCCGCCTCTGCGTCCTCTATTCTCCCGAAATCGTTCTCCCCGCTCTCCAGCACACCGATGAATACGATGCGAGCGCCGAAGAAGCGGGCAGACTCGAGCACGGAAGCCTTCTCCGTCGAACGCTCGCCCTTGACCTTTCCTTGACCAAACAAAGGAGCCTCTCCTATGAACGGCCGTACATCGGCGGTGGGGAAGGCAACGAGGGCACTCTTAGAGGACTGGTACGCTGTCAGAGGTGAACCAGCCTGGAAGGCGACCCAGCGAGCTTTAGGAGATGCTGCAAGGGTGTCCAGGAAGATAGCGGAGTCGCGCATCCATGATAGCCTATTCAGCGGAGATCCGCTCAAGAAGTTGACGGGTCTACGCATTGTCCGTTAGTTCGGGTGTACAGGCTCCCCGAAGTCGGCGATGCGCACCTTTCAGTAGCCATTTCCGTAGAGCGGAAAAGGGATCGGGTAGCACTTCGGATGATTGAGGAGAAGAACAGCTTGACGAAGGTGATGATCCTGCTTTATACTGATGTACTCAGGATACGAGCTTTCTATTTCGTGACCGTGTTCGTCAAAGTCGCCACGCTGACTGAGCTTGCCGACTCCGCCGTCATCCGTCGCACGGCCGACCCCAGCCAATCCCGCGCGCCCTTGACCGCAACCACCACCAAGTGCATGCGGCACTTCCGCTGACCCACATCTTCTGTCAGCGCTACGCTCAACGAAATGTCTTATTCATTCCCAAATACCATGATATTATTTTAGCTTGGTCCATCGAGTCACAGCCTCGCTGGCCTCAAGTTGGACGCGTGTTTCCCCCGCGCAGAAGCTGTATACGATTCAGCGCACCTTCCGCGGATCCGTGTCGCGGTGGCTTTCCGTGCGGCCGTCCACAGTGGCCTGGCCGAGTTCGACTGACGCTCGACCGAGGCCATCGTTCCCACCATCGGCTGTCTTCGGTCTGCGCCACTTCACCCTACTGATGCTGATTGCAATAAACTCGCTTCTGTGGCACAATAAGCGCGCACCCCGCAACGGCCGGCGATACCGACGTTAGCTCTCACTTATCTTTCCGCCGAGCCGACTCCCTTTGCACAAAGAAACTCCGCCTACTTTGTTCTGCGCAATGTGCACCTGCACCTCTACATACCTATCGAATCGATGTCGCGATGAAAGGGCTCCGTGCTCTGTCTTCGGAGTCGGTCCGCGCGCGCCACCCCTAATCTATGAAATAGATCAGGATAATCAGCAGACACCAGGGCGTCCACAGTGTGGGAGCGCGCGGCGTCTTGTTCGGCTGGCCACACGAACAGCGACAGGCTCGAAGCGCGTCACAGAGGCTTCGGACCGGCAGGTTCGGTTATTTCGAAAGGTCCAATCAACTATTTCTCTTTGTTGAGCTCGAATCTGCTGATAGAGCTTTCCTGCCTATGCTCACCCCATTTGGGCGGTCAAAAAGGACTCTCCGCTCCTTTGTATGTCTCGCTTGTGTCGCCCGAACAGGTCATTGTCCGCTGTAATTGGGACAGACTTTGCGCTAAGGAGCGCGGAGGCTGACTCGGCTGCGGTACCAAACAAGCGTTGACGTCCAAAGATGAACCTTCTGCGCCTCTCAGCCCTGGGGCGTCGCCTGGCAGGCCCGCGTGCACCCACGCCATTACCTTGAACCTACCCTTTCCGACCGCAGGCGTGTGCTCGCAGCCACCTTCCATTTTCCAAACGAAGACGATCATCTTTCTTCACATCACTGGCCAAACTGCCGGGACCGGGCCCATAGCCGCGCGCGGATGTATGTCTCACATCTCGCTTTGTTGTGAAAGCGCTGTAACACGCCGCTCGCGCGCGCCGGGCCACTCGCAACCAATATAAATCGTATATGGCGCTGCGCGACCTCTCAAGATCCTCATTTCCGCTCCCCCTCCCGTCCTTCATCTGTCGACTTCTCCTGCCCGTACCGGTACGTCCGCGTTCTCCATTCCACCTTCTTCGCCCGGCATTCCCTTTGACATTTCCCGATTCGGCAGCGGCGCGTTCTTTCTCGACCTCGCGCAAGATCCTGATTCTCCAGTGTGTGCGCTTATAACGACATGAGTGCGTTCTACTCTCCTCCAGTGACGCCGTGTCCCCGTCTAACTAAACTCCGCGTTATAAAGGGTCGTGTTATGTGCGAAGGGCATCCACGACATCTATCCTCAGCACCGTACGTACAAGCGCGCTTCTTCTTTTCACCGCTGACTGCTGAACATGATGCTCGCAGATGGCCCGAACCCCGAAACCCGCATCATCCTCTTCAAATGCATCCGCATCTCAATCACATCCGAACACGCCCTTACCAACATCACCACCGACGTCCCCACCACCTTCGCCATCCATGGCGCGCGCGAGGCCGCGACCGGTGAGGCCGCAACCTCCAGCGCGAAGCGATAGCCATCCGCCGCCATATGTATCACCGGGACAGGCCATCGCAGATGCGTGGAGACGGGAGAGCGCGGAGAATCAGGAACGATGGCGAGAGGCTGACCGCCGGCAACACGACTACTGGCCGCGCACAGCCGAGAGACGAGACAAGGCGAAGATGTGAAGCTGCAGGGGGCGAGGCGCGGTGGGAGAACTGCAATCTACACCTATAATCATCAAACCGCGGTGTCGGGCACGGACTGCCTCCTCAGACAAAGTTGGGACCGAGGCGGGACGGGGTCGGGTTTTTAACCTTATAATTTCGGTATATATTATTCTGCATGCACTTGTCCGATAAGATACCACCTGTAATCTCATCAATCGCATCTCGGCCGAATCGAAATATTCGCATCACTCTGAGCGCCGATCATTGAAACCAGTCATGGAGTCTTGTTTGCTAGTTTGACTCGCGCCACCACTACAAGCGCCAGACAACATGTCGCTCAAGACAGTCAAGGACCTGACCGCGGGCACGGCGGGAGGCATTGCCCAGGTCCGGACCCAACCCGCTCGCACCCGCCTGCGC